TCTCTCTCTCTCTCTCTCTCTCTCTCTCTCTCTCTCTCTCTTTCTCTCTCTCTCTCTCTCTCTCTCTCTCTCTTCATTTCTTTATTTTTTCTTCTCATTCACACATACACTCTCTCTCTCTCTCTCTCTCACACACACACACACACACACACACACACACACACACACACACACACACACACACACACACATACACACACCCGCGTGCCCGCCCACACTCATTCACCTACCCTTGAAGCATACAAACTTACCCGCTCCCCCCCCCCCACCCAGAGACCACACACACACCTACAGATTCATTAATTTGGCCCACCCCACCCTTCCCAAACACACACACACACACACACACACACACACACACACACACCTACAGATTCATTAATTTGTCCACCCCCACCCTTCTCAAACAAACACACACACACACACACACACACACAAACATACACACACACACAAACACACACACACACAAACAAACACACACACACACACACACACACACATGTCCAACCACACCCATTCGAGCACACCCCCTTACGAACATCCAACCAAACCCTGCCATAACTCAACCCACGCCACCATAGCCTACTCCACTAAAACTAAAAGCCCCAATCTCTCTCTCCCTCTCTCTATCCCCCCTCCCCTCCCCTTCCTCCTCACCCTCGCCCCACTTTTTCCCGCCCAAACCCCACTACCGCCAGGTACCTGGACGAGTCTCTTCGCTGGCTTATGGCCAACGGGAAAACACAGAACATTGATAACATCATCCGGAGAGCCGCGAGGGTCAATGGGAAAAACCTGGATGATATCTTGCAGGTGAGAGAGAGAGAGAGAGAGAGAGAGAGAGAGAGAGAGAGAGAGAGTGAGTGAGAGAGAGGGAGAGAGAGAGAGAGAGAGTGGGAGTGAGAGAGAGAGAGAGGGAGAGAGAGTGGTAGAGTGGTGTGGAGAGAGAGTGGGGGATAGTTAGAAAGACAAAAAGAGAAAGAGAAAGAGAGAAAAAGAGAGTGGGAGAGACAGAGTATGACAGAAAGAGAGAGTGAGAGGAAGTGGGAGAGGGATAGATAGAGAAAGAGGGAGAGAGAGAGAAAGAGAGAGAGAGAGAGAGAGAGAGGGGGGAGAGAGAGAGAAAGAGAGAAAAGAGAGAAAGAGAGAGAGAGAGAGAGAGAGAGAGAGAGAGAGAGAGAGAGAGAGAGAGAGAGAGAGAGCTTTTAGAGGTCACGGATAAACGGTTCAATCTGACACAAACCGACAGTTTGCACGTGAGAGATCTCTGCGAGGTCACAGGTGCTGGTGAATGGCGAGTGCTGTGGTGATGGTGTGGTTGCTCTTTTTTTGTCTTCCTGCCATCCGTCTAACGTCCTCATCTCTCCTTCCTCGTTTTTTAAAAATCTTTAGTAAGAGTAAAGGCGCACTTGCTAGTCAAAAGGTCATATTACTAAACTAGCTGGGCCCCCTTTCGATGAAAGGAATGATCGGTGCATTAACATCAACTGAAAGACATTGGCCTACTATATTTACACTCTACTGGAATGGAGCACTAAATCTTGAGAGATGCAACAAATTAGAAGGTCTAGATCTATACTCTCAAAACAAAATGCGCCTCGTGAAATATCATTCCCGGCACATCCGCTGTGATGGACAGCTACGCAGATTTGTTTCGTTTCTCAGTGGAATATTCACATAGTTCAAAGAAGGGCGGGAACTTTTTGTCAAATATATTTTTCTCAATTCAGGACATTAATAAATAAAAAATCTGGCTCGGTCATGGGGACCTATCTATCTTTTTGAAGGCAGTTGCCAACTTTCAACTCTGTAGCTGGCGTAGTTTTATATGAAAAGTGACACGTGTGTTTCCAAGTTGCCAAATTTATAATACAAGCTAGGCCCCCTTTCGATGAAAGGAATGGTCGGTGCATTAACATCAACTGAAAGTCATTGGCCTACTATATTTACACTCTACTGGAATGGAGCAAAACATCTTGAGAGAAAAGTGACACGTCATGTGTTTCCAAGTTGTCAAATATAATACAAAGGACTCCAGAAAAAGGGATGATGGGCATCAAAAGAAAGGATCACAATCGAATTAAGCACCAAGTAAAAAAAGAAAACATGAGGCTAGATCTATACGGGTGGCACACTTAAAATAGTGCTCAGTATTGCGCAACAATGCGCGATAGTATCGAATGGAAGTACGACTTGAAATAAACAAAGCTGGAGGATTTTCTAAAATTACAGAGACAGAAGCGTTTGCCTGCCAAAGCGATCGGCGAAATAAAGAGATTTTGATTTTTGAGAAAAAACTGTCTCAAAACTGTAAAAACGAAGGGCGTCATGATCTGGAGAATATTTTAAAGAATCTTTTGGCGAAAACCGCATGTCGATCGATGCAGCCAATAAAAAGCCTTTTTGAGTAGCAACATTCGGCCACCACAAATAGATAATAGATATAATATAATAAGTGCCTCCTCTCTCCTTTTTCAAATCATTGTATATTACTCTCTAATAACACCTCTAGTCGGTTCAAGCCTCAACTCGGTCTGACGTTGTGTCCTTGGGAAAGGCACTTTACAAGAAATTCCCAGTTGGCTCGGTCCTTTCTAAGGTGGACATTACACTCGGAGAACCCGCATCTTAAATAACCTAATAGTGTTGATAGAGCCGTTAAACCCATACTATTTTCACACCTGAAGTCTTTGGTGCTAATATATATTACCTATATTCATTGCGAGTACCGTAGAACTCTTACGGAAGATAAATCTGAGGTCAGGGCAAAACGGATCATTCCGACTTCATCCAACCGTATGCAAGTGAGAGCTGTTTGCAAGGTTTAGGTATGGATGGTTGGCGGGTGCACTACTGTGGTTTGTTTCTCCTCTCCTACCAAACACTATAATAGTCTTCATCTTTCCCTCTGCGTTTCTGTTTAAGATTTATTTTATACCTCATTCACTTTCGTCTGACCGCAGTTTAAACGGGATAAAAACAAAATCGTTTTTTTCATCTTTCTGGGTCTGGCATGCGGCGGGATAAAAACAAAATCGTTTGTTTCATCTTTCTGGGTCTGGCATGCGGGTCTAAAAGTTAAGCAAAAAACAGAATCTAAAAGGCCATTCATGAACGTCAAAGCAAAGTTGTAAGACCTCTAACTACTGCTCGGCACACACAATGACATCTGTGCTGCAAGTACCACGACATTTCTACGGCAACGAGAATTAAGGTCAGGGATAAACGTTGGTATCTGGCACAAATCGACCTTAAGCAGGTGAGAGACCTTTGTGAGGTCAAGGAATGAGTGGTTAGCGGGTGCTCTGGGTTTTTTATCATTTAGTTTTTCATTCAAACATCTACCATCTTGATATCTTCTTTTGTGTTTCAATTTAAGGTTTAGTAAGAACTGTTTTCTTTTTTTTTTTTTTGGGGGGGGGGGGGGGGGTAAGTGTTTTACGACGATCGCAACTGCATACTGTCATATGAGCACGCGAGACACATTGAACACTTTTAGCTGATAGGAAATTTTGAATTTTGCCCGGGTGGCGACCCAAGTCTACTCTAATCGATTTTAGACAATCAGGGGATCTTTAACATGCACAACATGCACACTGGACCTCCGAGAATTGTTTGCTCTTGTCCGAGATGGCTAGGTGTAGATCTTTCCTACGATAAGATCAGGGGTGTGGCTGAAAGAGAGCAGTAAGAAGTTGCCAGCGAGTAGCAGCAGAAAGACTGCAGAAATTGTCATGAACCCAAAGGAGGGGGCAAAGGAGGTGAGGCGGTGAGGGCAGAAAGTGGAGACGAAAGCAGACGACAGAACATTGCTAGAGAGCAGGAAAGGAGGTGAAAGGAGACAATATATTTTTTCTTCCGTCGGTACCCGGATTCGAACTCGGGACCTTTGAATGAGAGGCGAACACCTTAACCTTTAGGCCAAGAGAGCCAACGTAAGAACTATACGGCCCTTGCAACACAAATAGGTCGTGTACGTTCCTCTGTCCTTTTATTTCTTTGTTTTTTTCTCTCGAGGTCACAGCTCTGATACTCGACATTTATCTCACATAAATCATATCTGTGTTGCAAGTGCCGTAACATTTCTGCGACAACTAGAATTTAGGTCAGGGAAAAAACAGTTACATCATCTGGAACAAGCCGGCAACATTCTGCACGAGAGAGATCTGTGCAAGGCCAGGGTGTGGGTATTTGGCAGGTGGACTAGTGTGATGTCCATTTCTTCTCTCCTATCAAACATATTACCCCCACCTCTCCACCCGGGTTTTAGTTTTAGCTTTAATAAACGTTTTACGGCACTTGCAACACAAAATGGTCAGAAGTGCCTCACTCCTTCTCCTGTTCTGTGTGTTTTACTCTCTATAAATACATCTAATGTTCGGGGCATATATGACCTTATTGTATTCCCAGCGCCGTAAAAACTAACGGTAAGGTCATGGATAAACGGGCTCTATCTGGCACCAGCCGACCCAATGTACAAGAGGGCGGATGTTTCCGAGGTCAGAGCGTAAGTGGTTGGCGGGTGCTCCTTCTTTCCTACCCAACATCTACCGTCTTTATCTCTCCTTATTTGTCGTGTTTATTACTCTCTTGTAACACTTCTAACCTTCGGCACTCATAGAATAAGTTATACGACCTTATTGTGTTGCAAGTGCGTAAAACTCTTACTAAAACTAAACTAGACGCACAGAGAATAAGAGCGTAAAGAGTTTGCTCCTTCTTTCTTATCAACAACCCAACCTGCTTCCTCCTCCACCCTACCCCCCTCCTCCCTTTCTTTTCTTTTTATGTTACTGTTTAATAACACATCATTTAACACTTTTATGACCCTAGTGTATGGTTGTGAATGCTGGGTTATCACTAAAGAAAATATAATGTGAGGCGGGGTGGTGAAATCAGGTGCCTGTTGAAATAGTGAAAGTCAAGAAACTGGCATTTTTCCGCAGATATGAGAATTTTTATAGATTTTTCTGGGTCAAAACCTTTCATGCCTATTAAAAACCTCATTTCTTTTTGGAATTAATTTTAAAACATTGCCTAAAGGTATAGAATATGTAAAGTTATAGTTTCCAGAGACTCTCAAGCTAAGGAAATAACTCAACTTTGGCGGCCATATCATCGCTAATTTTATATCTGAAGCCAGGCGACCCCCACCTCCTTCAATCGCCAATATCTTGACGTATGGATATTTTTTTCACCAAAAGCAAAGCACATGAACAGACTTTAAGATTCTACCAACACCTTCATATGCCCAGAAATTGACGAGCGCCTGATTCCACCACGTCGTGACACACATAGACACAAACAAAATTCGGTTTCTTATAAAGACAGTAAGTTGAGGAATTGTTAGAAGGAAAATAAATCAATTGACGCTGTACTTGAAGAGGCCCATGTGAGCCGATCTCTGCAGCTTTTTGGACATTTGCATAGTCATTAGGGTCTTGAGCATCTAGCTCTCAGTGGCAAATCTCAAGACAAACGAGACAGTGGTAGAAAGTAGCGTTGATGGCTTAGTGGTTAGGGTACCGGACTCGTAATCATGAGATTGTGGGTTAGGGGGTTCGAGTCTCATCTCGGTCCGACTTTGTGTTCTAGAGAAAGACACTTTACACGAATTTCCCACTTGGCTCGGTATTTTCGGAGATGGACGTTAAACTCGGAGGTTCCACCTCTTTAAAAAAAACTAATAATGCTGATAGGGCCGTAAAACCTTTACCATTTCACCATTTTTGCACAGGGTAGACCCAGAACAACCAACTTGGAGACTAAATAAATGGGTGACAGGGGGAAAAATCAGGACAATAATATGATAA